ATGTTGGCAGATTGTGGAGAGGCCAGTTATTTTTAGCATGGAAACAGAATAAAGTAGATCAATTGTAAGCTTATTGGAAGCAAACCGATCTAATCAATATAAGAGTTGTTATAGAATCGACATTGGGTTTTCTATTCCTGGTTATAATTCCAATAGAATTGATATTAAAGCGATTATGGAATATGGTGATAATAATGCTAATATTTTGTCAATATAATACTGACTTGATAGTTATTGCCCTCATTAAATATCACTTAGGTTAAAAATAGTCTTAAAGTAGGATGAGCCCCATTTTTTTGTGAAAATTAGCTAAAAAAAAACAAGGAAGTCAATCATAAAGAATTTCTGGAATTCCATTTCAATGCTTGTATTTAGCCAAAACTAAATATGTTAAAAAATAATGGTTCCTCATTTTTGAAAGTAGATTTGGGTCTTGATTAGTAAATAGTCTTAAGACATACTAAATCTGCACTTGTTTTAATATACCTCAAACTAGAAATATCACTTTCTATTTCTATATCAGACAGGGTGTCAAGAAAGACCAGTTGTCATTTTAACTTTAACCTGGATAATTCTGAACACCCACGTATTTGAAGTCTAAAAATTTTGACCTTGCGCTGTGAACAGTATTACTGATTATTACTGATTAACTGAAGTCCCTTTAAATACAATGAAAACATGCTTTCATAATCCAATGAAAAAGGATGTAATAAATTTTTTCCTCTTAAAATTGAATAGCTGTGGTGTATTTTTTTGACATTAATGTTTTAGATTTTCATACTTTAAATATATGGCACTATGTTTACATTAGATATGACACATTAGACCTGACATTTATCACTGTTAATGTATACATTAAAAATCTGAATGTTCATAAAACTACAATTCAATTTACATGACTTTGCATTACAAGCAGTTTCTAGTTCTATAAGAAATTCCTGTTAAAAGAACATGACCAACAATATTTTGTAGGTTAGAAAATCAATGAAGTAATGCTCAGACCTACATCAAAAGAATATTGAAAATCCCAGTCAGGGTTGCAAACAGGGGTTTCAAAAAGGTGAATATGCCCTGCTTTGGTAGCAAGACCTGCAACAGTGCTTATTTTGACTTAAGAGTCAAGCTTTAAAAAAGGTATTAGGCTGGCCATGGTAGACCTAAATATTTTATGTTTATCAGGGACATTGATAAAATCAATTTGCAACTTTCCAATTTCCAATCAGATGTCTGTTATCTTATCAATGTCTCCAGTACGCAAAATAAATTTATAAAACCTCTTTACAATCCCTTTCAGAAAATCAAGTTACATGAACACTTAACCTAAATTTGTAATTTGTAAAATTGAACCTTTTAATCACTATTATTAAAGCAGTTAAAAATATTAAGAATTATGCATTATGATTCAAAATGGTTTCTGTAATTAATAGCCCACCAAGCAATAAATCTTTAATTGGAATAAATTAATAATAGATAGATCAGTGAGTGCAATTCCCATTTCAGGTATAATTTAATTACTCTTATATACGTTTCTAATTCCAGTCTTGAGATAAATAGTTAATGTTCAATACAAAGCAACAACACTGTGGATTTACCAATATTTCTGATTGAATTCTGACGGCAAATGGAAAACAAATTGCGGTACTTCTCTGTTTCTGATTCAGCAACAGAGTAACGCAATACAGTGCATAATGAGGAAAACAACTATGAGACACTTGTTTCATGTTAGCCCCTTTGATCTGCATTTATAACAGACATAAGGAAACTGGGTTGAAAATTACCAAAATATCATCTCAAAATTCTTAAAGGATGCAAGGATCAAGGATGGGATGTTATGATAACACATCACAGGAAGCAAAAAAAATCAGGTTACTTACCTTGAAGGAAATCTTGCAGCATCGCATCTAACTTATAGTCTTCATCCACAAATAATGGACGATGGTCATAGAATTGACACACAGTTTTTAAAGCAGTATTATCATCAGGATCAATGAGAGCTAACTCTTTAGTATTTAATAGATTCACAATATGACTTTTTTCCCCATCGAATACAGGGATACGAGTGTAGCCATGTTTTAAAATTTCAGACATGGTTTCAAAATCCAATGTCGTATTAATATCTAACATGTAAACATCGTCAATTTTAGTCATAACATCTGTCACGACTTTGTTTGCAAGTTGAAGAGCTCCTGCAATGATGTTGGCCTCATCATTTTGAAGAACTTTATTATCAGCAGTCATACGAATCAATTCTTGTAACTTTTCCTTGTCATAAACTTGACCAATCTCTTCACCTAAAACTTTGTCTAATATCAAACTTATTGGAAATGATAAAGGAAAAGTAACAATCATAAAAAATTTGGTCAGATAAACTGTTCTTGCTCCAATAGCCAAGCCATGTCTTGAACAAATGGCTTGTGGAATAATTTCACCAAATATAACAATACCCATAGTTGACATAATAACAGCTAACAAACCATTTGATAAATCATCAAGTAAAATAGTTAATGTATTGTTCACAAGAACATTTCCAAGTAGCAATGTACATAATAAAAAATTTCCACGACTTCTCAAAGGTTCAATGATTTTTGCATATTTCTTTTCACTGGCAGATCCACATTTTTCAATAATTTGTAATTCGGTCTTGTCTAATGCCATAAGGCCTAAATTTAAGCCACTAAATAGACCAGACAACAGTAACAAAATTATCAGAAGAGTAATCTGAATTCCCATTGGCAATAGGAAGGTTTTAATAGGCTTAGCTTCCACACTAAATCGAATCCAGGGACTGCTGCTACCCTGGTGTAGCCATGTAGTCCGTGTTTCATTATTATTCTCATTGGAACTTAATATCTCTTTTACACAAACATATCGATAATCTTCATCAATGAACGGTAAATTCAAAACAAATAATCCATTATCATCCCCTAATAATTCTACTATATTGATCTCTTGATCCCCTTCGCCTAAAATACACTCATCTCCACGGTTGCCCTCATTCTTGGTTATAGCCACTGAACTTATATTGACAACACCGTTTCCAATAAAGCGAATCTTATGCTCTTGTTGTTCCATTAATTTTACCGACCCCGTCGAATCAACACTCACTCCTTCACCCGCAACAAGTAGAACTTTTATAGAAACGACATCTTCGCGATTCCCAGAAGCTGTCACGGTTTTCAAGAGCATAATTAACAGAGCAATTATTTTAACACTATTTCTGACTGCCATGTTTTGGCACTGCTACCGGAAATGACTAGTCCGCCCCCTTCGTAAACAAAAAGGGGAGATTACTCCTCCACTGTTATTTTTATAGTGGTCCGTTGCAGATAAATTAATATTATTGACTGGTAATAGTAATACATCACAGTCACAGTCAAGCTTTGATTTACACACAACTGACACAACACATCGCTTAGCATGTAGCTATGTTAAGATCGAGTCAGATTTAATTTATACAGTAGGCTATCACCCGAGGCAAATAGCTGAAGGGTTAAATTTAAAAAGAATACACTCACTGTATAGTCGAGTTATTTTAATCCTTATTAATTATGTCAAATTTGAACAAAAAGTGATTCTTATTTCTGTCAAATTTAAGGTTTCGAATTAAAAACCTGTATAAGTTATAGAGGCCTCTACATTATGATTACTTGATAACTTGAAATAGTGTGACAGCACAGGCAAACTCTACATTGGATACCACAGTAAGCCTACATTAAACAATATAATAGCAAAGGCCGTAGGTAGAGGGCGGTCAAGAGAGGGGGGGGGGGGGGTGTTAAAGATTTATAGATACATAGATATTTATTGTATTGTTCGCCCTTTTTGGGCAGCATTCATCATGATACAAGATAATAAACAATAATAAGTGATGTATGTCTTGAAAGACTTGTTAAGGCGACATAGTTGCGCACCCCTTAAAAAATTTTGCTACGCTACGGTCCTAAATATGGCTGATCTATATAGTCATCTAGATATTTCTCTATTTAAGCTTTGAAAAAGAAATATTACCGAAATTAGTGTCTTCATATTAATTTACACACGTCATTAAATCAGAAACACCGTAGTGTTTGCACAACTGATATCGTGATAAAGTCAGTAAGGGGATAGTCTTTAAAATATTTGGTATATAAACTGATAGAGCCTTTTTTCTGTTATCTACATTACCTTTCATCCGATTTCCCTACAATTCAACAAAAACTTTGGATGTTTAGACTATTGTTTGATTCAGGTATATGATGGATATATAAGAATGAATTGGGCATTCGTGAAATATATTAAATTTGATGCTTCGACATATATACTTTAAGCTATTGGTGATTTTAACAAAAGCCATAATCGACATATTGTGTTATAACTTTGTAGTCCTGTTCATAGGCTATATAGAGTTGTTTCCCTTCAGTCAGAAGAATTTACATGTCGTCTCTTTCAACTATTACATTATTAATTGATTTGAGGAATTGTTTTAAACGACGATGCCTTTTAAATGTACTTTTACTTAAACAGAGGTTTCAAAGTTACAGTATTGATACAAAGTAAAGGAAAAATTGTTTTACTATGTACATTTTCCATATTTGATGCAGGAAGTTTTATGGTAGATAATGACCTTTATGTCATATACTTGAATATTTGAATATTTGAAGCGAGGGGATACTTTTTGGTATTCTGTGCAGATATTTTTTATCATATTAATCTAATTTTGTTCAAAGACTTGAACTCCAGTCTAGAAAAAGATCTGAATTTGTTTAATTTTATGAAACAATATTATTGCATCCTCATAACGGGTTTAACAAATCCGCGAAGTAAGAATGGATCTGCGAAGTACAATTGCGCGAAGTCACAATATATCCGCGAAGTAAAATAATATATCCAATAATAACCACAAAATTTACTTCGCGGAACAAATTTGAATCCGCGAAGTAATGACATATCTGCGAAGTAATATTTAACCGCGAAGTAAATTTCTTAGTAGATGATTGGATGATAGTTGATGACGTAGAAAGTTAACTGGTATATAAGAAAATTACATCTCTCACTATTCAATACAAAAATTGTTATTAACTGATAGATAGATACTAAAACAATCAAGAATACAAAATGTTACCTCCAGGTGGTTTAATGGAAATTGTTTTCTCCTTCGATACAACTGGTTCCATGGCTAGTTGTTTGAATGAAGTGAGGGGCCATATTCAGAACATGGTAGAGCGTCTGCAAGCAGATATTTCAGGAATCAGAATGGCAGTATTTGCCCATGGTGATTACTGTGATAAATCTAACTATATCACCAAATTTATAGATTTTACCACTGATGTTAAGAAATTAACTGATTTTGTGAAGACAACGGGAAGTACTGGTGGTGGTGATACTGATGAGTGTTATGAATTGGTATTAAGACAAGTGAGAGAAGAATTATCTTGGACTCCTGGTTCGAGAAGATCTCTAGTATTAATTGGTGATGCCCCTCCACACGAACCTACCTATCCTCTGAATAAACTGAAAATAGACTGGAGAGAGGAGGCTGATTTGCTTGGAGAAATGGTAAGATTCTACTCTAAATTTTTTGAAGAAATTAAAATTCAGATTTCATTTAAGAAAAGATCTCGTCTATTTTTCATTAAACTTTGACACAAAAATAATAAATGAATCGAGTCTAAATTTATGAAATTTCTTTTTTCCAGGGTGTTAAAATTTATGCAACCCAGTGTCAAGGCTGTCCAACTGCTGCTAAATTTTACAAAGCAATTGCAGAAAAGACTAACGGACACCATTTAAAACTACAAGAATTCTCTAACGTCTTTGATTTCCTGATGGCGGTTGCTTATCGGGAACATGGTGATGATTTGTTTCAAGTTTATGAAAAAGAAGTAAGAGGGCGGTGTGAAACGTCTACTGGACTAAATAAAGATTTAAATGATTTGTTTACGACATTGAGAAATGGTGACGTTGTAACAACAGTTGATGTTGATACGCCAACAACTACAACAACATTAAAAACAGCTAAAAAGAGAAAAGCTGACAGTACAACGACAACACCTGCTAAAAAAGCTAAAACGACCAAAACCACTTCTTTGATTAAAATTGGCAAACCTACTTTAAAGAAGGTTTCACCGACAAGCAAGCGAATTGTCAAGAGAGCAAAGGTAATTACAAAATTTACTTTGAAAGATGAGAATTTAAATCATACCATTCTATATCACACTCTTCGATAATATTCGAAAGAATTCTTGCAATTTTTGACCCACAAGATTATTTACCATTTGCTTTTATTTTATCTTTTTAGAAAACAACCAACCCCAAATATCCACTGCTCAGAAGAGAAATGGTTCCTGAAAATAATTTTTATCTGAATGATAGGAACTGGTCTCCATGGCAGAAAATTGTAGCCAAAGATGTTCCAGTGTCAGATGGAACTCAGTGGCAGAATACTGGAATTTATCACAGAAAGAAGGAAATATTCCATAATAATCCTGATGTTCCGTCTATCTACGAATTTGCTGTACAAACCAAACCAAAAGCTAGACGTTATGTAGTGTATCACAAAATGGCCCATCGTGTTTCTGGAAAATGGGCTCAACGTTTATTTGGAGCAAGAAACATTCGTGAACAAGTTGGTAAAATAGCACATCGTGGTTATTCCTTATTTATTAGGAGATTACCAATCTCGTCAGATTCCATGAAAAGAGACACAATCAGTGCTTTAAGACGATATGATTATTCCTGGAACAGAATCAGGAATCAAAGAATCTATCAAAGAAGAGTTGAAATTTGTTCACAAACTATTTCTGATTGATCTGGGTAAAATATATTGTGATAATGAACTGTGATAGGACACAATTCTCATAAAAGACATTTTGCAGAAGAGTAGGACGTAAAACTCCATTCATTTCATTTCATTTCATAGAAGACATTTAAATATGAAATATCCGTTATGTCTGTAGTACATGGACAATATTGTACACAGAATCTCCAATTATATGTTATGTTGTACAGTGTTATTTATGTTAAATGTGTTTTTCACGTAATGATTATGTTTTTTGTTAATTAAAAAAGACAAAACTTACACATCGTTTGAATTGTCCGAAATCACTGTCCAGTTCTCTAATCAAGGCATGAAAGATTCCCCTTTCTTTCTTTCTTCAAGAGAACACCCATACACAAATAACAACAATCCAACTCACATCAAACTGAATGACTGCAAAAATGAATTAAAAAATTGGGAATAACTGTAGCCTACATGCAGAGAGTTTTACTCTACCGCAAATCTACGACTTGCTAAGCACTCGTTACTTGATTGTAGTCCGACCTTTATCTGGAGTTACTTCCCTTATATCAAGCATGTGTCAGGATCAACTTTGTTTCCAATATACACAAGATCTACTCTTTCTTAATTTTTGATTATCCAAAACATTTTTTAAAATGGAAAAATACGAATATATACGAATACCTTATCTAAGTATAAGGTACGTTATTTGAATTTTTTATTTAGGCCTACTAACTATCTTTTATGGCAAATTATAATGTAGGGCCTACTCTCTACGATTTTCCATTTTAACATAATATAATAAGTCATAAAGTATGCACACTGCTTTATTAGGCTTAGGCTACTATTAATGCCTAAACCTATGCCAGCGCCTTCTGTTGAATAGTAACTTGTTACTTTTCATCCACCATAAACTCTATCTTCCTTGATGTTTGTACCTGATTTATCTATCGCATAACATGATAGGTTGAAAGTTCTATGATGACATTGTCTTGTGTTGTGCTTTTCTGACAATGTTGCAAAAATCAGTCTATATAGGCGTACGTAAAATATAGATATTATTTATTGAGCAAAAACAAACAAAAACAATGACCACAGATTTTAAGAGAAAGCCTATAATAAAACTTTACAGGTATTACATTTAATGCTTGATCTTTCTGAAAAGATGCATTTTGTTAACTTGTTTCCCCATTTCCTTTTTTTGGATTTTACAACCAGTTATCTCCCTTAATCTTGCAGTAATTATTGTGTACAGTTGTAGCCTACCCGAAGGTCGAAATATCCAGCGTGACAATCAAATAATAAATTGCCTCTGTGATATTATGAGTAATGAGTAATGTTCTTATCCATGGATGAAGCAATCGCATTTTTATGGAAATGTGGACGTAGGCTTATATTGCCGTCGCCATTGTCCGTCGGTCCGCCCGTCCATCCACATTTCTTGTAGGCGCGATAGAGACTACAGTTTTTATCCGATCTTGATGAAACTTGGTATGCATGTATATATTGATGAGATCTCGGCCAAGTTAGAAATTCGTAATAATCGGATGAATGGTTCCGGAGTTATTGCCCTTGACTTAGAAAAAACACGTAAAATTTGCCTTGTAGGCGCGATAGAAACTACAGTTTTTATCCGATCTTCATGAAACTTGGTATGCATGTATGTATTGGTGAGATCTCAGTCAAGTTCGAAATTGATAATAATCGGATGAATGGTTCCGGAGTTATTTCCCTTGACTTAGTAAAAACGCGTCAAATTTTGATTGAAGGCACGACAGAGACTACAATTTTTATCCAATCTTGATGAAACTAGTAATGTATATATTAATGAGATATCGGTTAAGTTAAGATTGGTAATAATTGGATGAACCGTTTCAGAGTTATTGCCCTTGTGTGTACAGCGATGAGACATTGTTCATGTTTGAATTTTATCATTTTGATATAAATTTGATAATTTTATGAACTGTTTCCGGTTTTTGCCTTGACTTATAGGCCTAGGTGATTTTAAGGTTATTTGAAAATTCCTTATTAAGCCACTAAATATTTTGTTGTAATTTCTGACAGCTGGTAGTGGGCGTATGTAACTTTGCCTGGCAAGCTATCATTGAATTATTTGTTTACTTTGTAAATCTCTCCAGAAATTAGTAATGTATTAACAAATTGATGAATTCTAATGTTCAAGACTAGCTTAGGTGCGGAACACTGATGCTGGTAAGATCATCTTAAGATCACCAATTTCCCCGAAAAAAACGATTTTCATTAATAAATCTATTTATAGTAACATATGTAGTTTTCATGTCAATAGATAAAAGAACAATAGATATAGGAAATACCCGTAGGTTATAAATAATATATTGAAAACGAGGCTTTTCAATTACGCGCGGTTTATTCAATCACAGACGATATTATACAGATGCAGTTATAACTCAAGTTAAAGGTATTTGACATATTTATTTTATATGATTATAACTTTTAATGAGATACAAATGTTAGGATCGTGTTTTCTCAGCAGATTTATAAACTTAATATTTTGACATTGACGGTTAGACTTCATATTGTAACCATTAGGCTATAACATATGGACAAGATCAAAATAAGTAAGTGAAAAACATAATATTAAGGTCATTAATAAAAGACCAGCATTGTAAATAAGATGTCAAGTACATTTTGTGTTGGAAATTTCACTTATTTACGTAGAACATCATGTTATTATTCGATAAAGAATAAAATTTGAATAGGTATTAATATATAAGTTATTTGAAATCGAAATAACCATTTGCATTCGATAACTGACTTTTGAATTCAAATTTGATTCAAATAATGCATGGATTGGTGTTTATTATCAACGAGGTCCTCTAACCTCTTGTTAGACTCGTCAATCGTGTTTTATTATGGAGGGACATACACGTCAAAATTCAGTTGTTCATTTTAACTTTTCAGTGTTCTCACTGTAAATTAGGTAGTGAGCGTTGACCATAAATTATTGTTATCGGTATTAATGTAGGGCACGAGCTATAGGATTCGCCTATGTATATTACAAGTGCAATCTCAAATTATGTTTACTTAGAAAATCAGCGTCATAATTTCAAACAAATAGCGGTAATCTGAAACAATTCAAATATATGGCGGTTAGATTAATGTAAAAAATATATGAATTCGTGGAAAAGTACTGGATTATTGCCGATTTTCATTGAAATACACCTTGAATCAGTGAAGCATGTAAGTTTACATTAATATTTTTGTCACTCTTCTTCATTTTCACGTATTCTATTCAAAGTTGACTCTAATCGTACATTCAGCTCTATACTTTAATAATTTTCATCATTGAAGCTCTTGTAAGTCATGAAGTGCACCATTCTTTAAAAAAAAAAACAACGTATATCGTATGTGAATGTTACTGAGTGTGATGTTATCCAAGGATAGCTATTTTGCCCTTGCCTCTTTATTAGAGCAATCATTAACAATCTAAACAAAGAATAGGGTACCAAAATCATTTTTCATCCCGACGATCCAAATTTCATTCAATTCTAATAATTAATTTTGACAAAAACAAGAAAATGCATGCTATCTGTTTGGTAAACGAAAAATATTTCGATCCTATTTAAAAAAAAAACCAGACGGCTTTAAGATGTCTTCTTCAACATTCTGGTCAAGAATAAGATGCTTAATTCCCAGATTATACCAATTACTATGTAATGCATTAGTATTGTAAAACATAACCAAAGAATGAAGGCCGTTTTATCATGGGAAGTAAACAGCTTGCGGGTTCAATTTATATTGCTGATAAAATTTACGTGTTTGCAAGAAGTGCACAGAATTTTAAATTCAACATTTAAAATCCTATTATTTAGACCGGTATTTGGTGTGTCATATGGCGCGTGTCCCCATATATCCCCTGTTGACCTAATTCTCTACCCATTGTTACGAGGGGGGAAACAAAAGAACATAGAAGCAACGTTATTATGTTTTAGTCACAACAATCTAACCAGCAGTATACGAAACTATAAATGGCGTCTACAATAATAAGAAGGCCCTTGAAAATCTTATCAGCATGTTACCACAAATAGAGTCTCTTGGGGGTACAGCAGAAGTTGACATCATCCGGCCTCCTAGTATTTTTATCTTCATCAATTTCCGTGTCATTAAAGTAGTGTTTACTATGACTAATGCTTTGAAGTTTGGTAGGTTCAGTTTAGCTGTTATACGTGGTAAATATAAGACAATTCTTTCTTTTTAGTTTTGTGTAAAAGTTTTCAAGCTGTTTATTGTCTGTCTCAGAAACGGGAAATTTTTAGCTGAGCTAATCAGAAATAGTGTTCACAGTCTGCCATCAAAATTTGAACCTTCAAATCCACATGTGTACAGAACAATCCGCATTTGAAAGTTAAAATGGCGACTCGTCTTTTCATGTTACTACGCCATACATGTATATGGTAAAGGAATAAATTGAAAAATATAGTGAAATACGTGTATCCAGTTTGGTGTAAATTTGAAGAAATATGCCAATTTCGTGCAGTTCTAGTAGTTTTGAATATTTACTTATATTCAAGACCCAAATCAACTCCCGAAAATGGCGAACCATGGCACTAAACAGAATTCAACTTATCTATACCTTAAAGATGGGTTCCCTTATTTTCAATTATGAAAATGCTAATACTTATACGAATAGAAAGTAGACGTGTTCTAATGACTTGGAAAAATACCAGTTTGTCTCACATAATTAATTTATAATTAGCTAAATTAGAATGACCAGCAGAATTCCAATGAATGACCGATCAAGAAAGGTCAAAAGTTTTTTTTTGTTTATCCAGAATGTACATATTCTTTATTCTTTAATGAAACCAGCAAAATATTTACCTTCTAAAATTCAATGTTTTTGTTGATGTTGTTTGTGTTTATTGGAAAGTTTAATATTTTTTTTCAATTAAGTCTTATTTTCTATTTATTTTTTCGTATAAGAAAGGTTTTTTGTTGGTTGATAAACTTAACTTAACGACCAATCTATAAATGAACTTCCTGAGTGAGTGAATTTTTCCACTTGATTAAAGCCATTACTAATAAATACGCTAGCCATAATACCATATGAGCTATAAACAGGTTCATTGATATACGTATTTAATACAACTGATAATAAAACAGCACCTTGTAGAACACCCTTTCTTTCAAGGACAATTATCACTGTCTTTTTGGGTACGAAATGTTGGTCTGTTAATATTAATTTACATAAAGACATACCTAACAGATAGTGGTTTGTCTAGGAAAATTAAAAAGCACTGTGCTATGATATGGAAGTTGAAATTGATTTTGATGATCCAAATAATTATCGCTGACTCTATGGCGTGAAAATGGCGAATTTTGTCACAAAAGTTGAATGAAGAACGCAAAGTTAATTTTCATTTTAAAAATATTGTACGAGCAGCTGTAGATTTCTATTCAGATTCTAAAATTTATCTGAAATCGAGTTTTGTCAGATTGTTGGCTTAAGCCGAGTTTTTTTTACATTGGTAGCGTTAGTCGAGTTTTGTTACATTGGTAGCGTTAGTCGAGTTTTGTTACATTGGTAGCGTTAGTCGAGTTTTGTTTCATTGGTAGCATTAGTCGAGTTTGTTACATTGGTAGCATTAGTCGAGTTTGTTACATTGGTAGCATTAGTCGAGTTTGTTACATTGGTAGCATTAGTCGAGTTTGTTACATTGGTAGCATTAGTCGAGTTTGTTACATTGGTAGCATTAGTCGAGTTTGTTACATTGGTAGCATTAGTCGAGTTTGTTACATTAGTAGCATTAGTCGAGTTTGTTACATTGGTAGCATTAGTCGAGTTTTGTTACATTGGTAGCATTAGTCGAGTTTTGTTACATTGGTAGCATTAGTCGAGTTTGTTACATTGGTAGCATTAGTCGAGTTTGTTACATTGGTAGCATTAGTCGAGTTTTGTTACATTGGTAGAATTAGTCGAGTTTGTTACATTGGTAACATTAGTCGAGTTTGTTACATTGGTAGCATTAGTCGAGTTTGTTACATTGGTAGCATTAGTCGAGTTTTGTTACATTGGTAGCATTAGTCGAGTTTTGTTACATTGGTAGCATTAGTCGAGTTTGTTACATTGGTAGCTGAAATTGAGTCTCAATGAAGATTGGTAGATGAAATCGTGTTCTCTCAGATTGGAAGCTGAAATTGAGTTCTGTCAGATTGGAAGATGAAATCGAGTTCTGTCAGATTGGTAGATGAAATCGAGTTTTGTCAGATTGGAAGCAGAAATTGAGTTCTGTCAGATTGGAAGATGAAATCGAGTTCTGTCAGATTGGTAGCTGAAATTGTCAGATTTGTAGCTGGAATTATAATTGTCAATAGAGTGTTTGTCCATTTGGATTAGTGCTTTTATAGAGTGTTTGTCCATTTGGATTAGTGCTTTTATGGAGTGTTTGTCAATTTAGAATAGTGCTTTAATAGAGTGTTTGTCAATTTGGAATAGTGCTTTAATAGAGTGTGTGTCGATTTGGGTTAGTGCTTTAATAGAGCGTTTGTCAATTTGAAATAGTGCTTTAATAGTGTGGTTGTCAATTTGGGTTAGTGTTTTAATAGAGTGTTTGTCCATTTTGATTAGTGCTTTAATAGAGTGTTTGTTAATTTGGAATAGTGCTTTAATAGAGTGTTTGTCAATTTGGAATAGTGCTTTAATAGAGTGTTTGTCAATTTGGAATAGTGTCTTTAATAGAGTGTTTGTCAATTTGGAATAGTGCTTTAATAGAGTGTTTGTCAATTTGGAATAGTGCTTTAATAGAGTGTTTGTCCATTTCGATTAGTGCTTTAATAGAGTGTTTGTCCATTTCGATTAGTGCTTTAATAGAGTGTTTGTCAATTTGGGTTAGTGCTTTAATAGAGTGTTTGTCAATTTGGATTAGTGCTTTAATAGAGTGTTTGTTAATTTGGAATAGTGCTTTAATAGAGTGTTTGTCAATTTGGGTTAGTGCTTTAATAGAGTGTTTGTCAATTTGGAATAGTGCTTTAATAGAGTGTTTGTCAATTTGGAATAGTGCTTTAATAGAGTGTTTGTCAATTTGGATTATTGCTTTAATAGAGTGTTTGTCAATTTGGGTTAGTGCTTTAATAGAGTGTTTGTCAATTTGGAATAGTGCTTTAATAGAGCGTTTGTCAATTTGGAATAGTGCTTTAATAGAGTGTTTGTCAATTTGGGTTAGTGCTTTAATAGAGTGTTTGTCAATTTGGAATAGTGCTTTAATAGAGTGTTTGTCAATTTGGATTAGTGCTTTAATAGAGTGTTTGTCAATTTGGATTAGTGCTTTAATAGAGTGTTTGTCAATTTGGAATAGTGCTTTAATAGAGTGTTTGTCAATTTGGGATAGTGCTTTAATAGAGTGTTTGTCAATTTGGATTAGTGCTTTAATAGAGTGTTTGTCAATTTGGATTAGTGCTTTAATAGAGTGTTTGTCAATTTGGAATAGTGCTTTAATAGAGTGTTTGGCTACTGAAAAAGTCGGGTAAACTATCCCTTTCACCTATATTTCACATTTCTTCCATACACAGTATATAATGTGCAGCTTTATAGTGAAACAGTTTACCACGTTGTGTCTAGGCATTGAATTTGCTTTTAAAAAATGATTAATGTCAAACTCCCGGACTAAAACCTTTGACAAATGAGTCGCAAAAACCATTCTTAACGAATTAATCTTTTACGTGCCAGGCACCTACCTAACCCTGCCTATTATCCTGGTTGCCCTAAGTACAAAAATATTGTATTGTGGTTCATAATAGCAGGAATACAAAGCAGTTCATTTGTATGGAACAAATTACCTCAATAAAACCTATCCTTTGATATGTATTGTATGAAACTTCTATGTTATATATCATTGCATTATGGATTTATTCATACATATTGGACCTATATTCTATTCTCCTACAATTTGACAAAATAGATAATAATTAGATATTAATATATATAATAACTGAATGGTTAATAAGGATTTTTTTCAATTCCACTCAGAAATCGGCTTTACGAGGTACATTAAGGTACAGTTTTTTCTTATTTATTTTAACATTTACATTGAGTGTAATGACTATTTATGTAATGATTATGTCTTCCGTGGGAATCGTTTTTAAAAAATTGCAATGGAAAGTGCCTTGTATCGATTAGCTGTATTTGTCCTGTGTATAACTGATGCTACATCAGGGGTCTGTATTTGGTTACTTTGGAAGACTTGTTTGACCATCTCCAAGAACACTTTGGGAATAATTGTTGCCAATACTCTGTTACTTACACTGAGACATATACAGTGTACAATGTAACGTATTTTCTGGTTAATACATGTCGCAAATTATCCAGTCGATACATGTATTGTATATTTTCTCGTCGGTACATGTTTTAATTATTTTTCTGATCGGTGGTTGAGAGTGGTCACGTATATTTTCTGGTTGGTTCATGCACTTCACATGTTATCCGATATAATATGTCGATATAATTAATATATCATGTATTTTTTCTGACCGATACTATCCTTATTTGGTTACACCACCTCTCTCATATTATTCCTGGTTGATAAAAAATTGTCTATTTTCTGGTTGTTACAAGTAACACATGTTTGTGGTTGATACTTGCCAGATATATATTTTCTGGTTGATACAAGTAGCACATGTTTGTGGTTGATACTTGTCAGATATATATTTTCTGGTTGTTACAAGTAACATATGTTTGTGGTTGATACTTGCCAGATATATATTTTCTGGTTGATACAAGTAACACATGTTTGTGGGTGATACTTGTCAGATATATATTTTCTGGTTGTTACAAGTAACACATGTTTGTGGTTGATACTTGTCAGATATATATTTTCTGGTTGTTACAAGTAACACATGTTTGTGGGTGATACTTGTCAGATATATATTTTCTGGTTGTTACAAGTAACACATGTTTGTGGTTGATACTTGTCAGATATATATTTTCCACATATTTGTGGAATTTAAGGTTGTAATATTGCGGTTAAGCAATGTTACGAAAGCATAGGCACAGGCATGTAGGCGTAACCTCTAGTGATAGAGCAATGTTTGTGAAGTTAGTTTAAAAGAATGATATAGAATATTTGAAATGCAAATCCATTATCTTCCGAATCTGAAATATATAAGAAGAATACTGGTTCCAACAGGAACATTAATAACCATGGAAATCATAATAAACATTTTCACTGGTGAAACTGGGGAATTGTCATATATTAAATGAAAAGGAAAATGCGTATTTCATATAAAGAATATATATAATTTATTAAGTGAAAATAGTATACATGTATGATATTTTTGCGAGGAAACTCTTCAATTGCAAGTTATCATAAATAAGAAATATTAATTAAAGGAAATGTACTAAACATATGGAAGGGGGATGGGGGGTAATCTACCTCGGACTAAGATATCATTTAGATTTTTATTACGGGTATAGGCGATAACTAAATCATTTGTAAAGACTGTTGGAAATTTTTCCTGCAATTCTTTGTAAAGACGGATAATTATTCGGGGAACTTGACCAGCTGTGTTGTTGTATTGAATAACAAAAGGTATAATTTGGAAATCAACTTGGATGTTCATTCCTAAAGGATGCATGGTTTGTAATTTGTTTATCCAAAAGTTTTCGCGAATGAGTCGAATTTTCTTTGTATCAATGCCAGGTTGTTCGTATATCTGTTCAATGGGAATAATTTTCAGGTCTGTTAATTGGTCATCGGGTTGATTGAAGTGTTTTGAAACGGTTTTGTTAATTTTTTTTAAGTTGATGTCAGACTTATGATGGTTCAAACGGACCCTTAACGAATTTTTTGTCTCCCCAACGTATTGTTCGTCACATTTTGTGCAAGAAATGAGATAAATAATATTTTTGCTGTTGCAGTTGAGTTTTTCATTTACTTGAAATATGGAATCTGTGCGTCTATTTCGGAAAGAATTTGTTTGTAAAATGAAGGGACAGGTTTGACAGCGAGGGTTGTTACAAGGATAAACTGAAGAATTTGGTATTGGTAAAAGAATCGAATTATTTTTAGCAGAGATTTCAGCAACTGTTGAGCTTTTAATACCTCTCAAGAACCTTCTAGAATATCCACGTTCGCGCAATTTTTGGAAAACAATTGAACAAGCCTCCTCGAAGTCCTTCTTGCGCGTACAAATTCGGTGAAATCACAAGATCTGCGACTTCATAATGCCAGAAAAGGTATCTTTAGGATGAAAAGATGATTTGAATAAAAGTTGGTGAGTATCAGTGGGCTTAAAAAAAACTTTAATATCTAATTGATTGGTTTCATGAAAATTGGTATCTTTAAAAACTGTGGTGTCTAGAAAATCAATCTGTTTGTCGCTAATATTAGAAGTTAATTTTACAGAAGGGTGGTGGCTATTGAGAATATCAAAATATTCCCAAAATTCATCTATTGTATGAGTCCAAATTAAGAAAATATCATCAAGAAATCTTACATAAAAAATTGGTAGTTTGTGAGTGAAACTTCTCTTTCCCATTCTGCCATGAAAATGTTTGCATAAGAGGGCGCAAAGCGTTTTCCCATGGCAGTTCCTGAAGCCTGAAGATAAATATTTTCATTGAAAGTAAAGTCATTACGTTTGAAACAAATTTCCAAAAGTTCAAAAATTTCTTTATCTGGTCTATCAGGATCGGGCTTTCGCTCGAATGCCTGCTTTACAGCGCGCAATCCAGAATCATTGTCAATTTTAGTATACATGCTTTGAACGTCTAAAGAGACTAAAAGGGCATTTTCTGGGATCACGAGTTTCTTTACCTTTTCCACAAAGTCGTTGGTGTCTTTGATATAGGCAGGATGTTTTGAGGCAAGAGGCAGTAAAAAGTGATCAATGTATTCTGATACCCTGTACGATTCGCTTCCACAATCGGAAATAATTGGGCAACCTTTTGGATACTTGTCAGATATATATTTTCTGGTTGATACAAGTAACACATGTTTGCGGTTGATACTTGTCAGATATATATTTTCTGGTTGATACAAGTAACACATGTCTGTGGTTGTAAAACATATATTTTCTGGTTGATACAAGTACATGCATATATTTTCTGGTTGATACAAGTAACACGTCTGTGGTTGTAAAACATATATTTTCTGGTTAATACAGTCCTACATTCATCTGATTGATACATAATTATATTACATCTCATAAATCATCTGTTTGATCATTATAGTCTTAAATTTTTACTCACATTTCTAGAACAAGAAAAAATAAGTCACGTAGAGATTGTAGAGAACTGTCCGATGATTGACTATTATTTGATTATCTTTAAGTTATCAATTGACGTAAAAAGTAAATTTACAAACAAAGCATTGTTAACGTCAATAGAAAAAGGGCAAATTAATGACCTTAAAGAAATCCGTACGTAGATTCTTTGAAATACGTACTTTTATCGAATGAGGTTTGTCTAATCACTTAATTGTAGCCCAACTAACAATATACAATCAAATACAAGGAAACAACGTTTAATATAATGCCATATTTGGATCTCCGTTTCAGATGTGACTTATAACTAGGCTACACAAATCTAAACGCACAAATTTACGATTTTATTAAAACAAAAATAAAAACGTCGTCGACCCAACATACTTCTTAATTGTTAAAATTTTACCTGACAACATCATTTGTTAAAAAAAAAAATCAGCAGTGTGGTGGATGTATTTATTTTGTTATGATTCTCAGAAAGAGAGAGGTATTGAGCACTATGAACATTTTAAATATTGACAAGATAAATAACAATGTTTTAAAATTCATGGGAATATATTTTTCTTCCTAACTAATGATATGTCGAGCGAATAAAGGAAAAATGTTAGGAAAATTCCATATGAATTCTATTATTAGGACTGACCTGATGTGATAAATAGGATTATGATTTTTATTGGTATTTCCAAATTTTTCTAATGAGATTTACTCTCCTTTGTTAGAAAACGGGAAAATTTTTCTCAAGGTTAATTTTTTTTACTACTATATTTTAATAGCTGACATCAACATCCCGTGGTTTCCTTCCGATACATATAAGGAAATATTAATTGCATATACTGGAAGTCACACGGTTGGTAGATAATATATGCATTACCGCTTATCAATTTAAAAGACGACAGCCAAACATAGGCAAAGTATTGTGTTCTATCTAAAAAGCTACATGAAGCATGAAGAAAATCAACAAAACATGTTGGGGTGAATCAACGACGTTTATAAAAATTTTGAAACATGTACGTTAAACTTAGCAACTAGAATAAATTACGAACTGTTTCAATTATTCATCCAAATTAGCAAAGATATAACTATATATTTGTTCATATTGGTCGTGATGCGTCATATTATTTATATTTATTCAAGCATTAAAGTAATTTTAAAATATGTCAAGGTCCAAACCCTGTACCCAGGTTTACACATTTAGTTAGGGAATCCCCGTAAAAAAGTGTTTTTGCTATTTATAGAGATGATCAAAAATGATATAGAAACTTGCATTTTTAGGAAAACTTGCAGTGAAAATCCTGTAGATTAAAGCATATCTTTAGATATAAGCATTACATGTAATTTATATAATATACAATTCCGAACAAAACTGGCTTTACTCTCGATTGCCAAGGAATTTTCTAGATCTGAAAACTGAAAAACAAAAACTGTTATTATTGACAACTTCATTTCTTATTTCAGGTCAGACATCGAATGAGCTAATATAATCAAGTCTGCTTCCCGTTCAGACGTCAACCATGTTTTCCTTATCCAACACAACTCTGTCATCAGGACCAGACCAAGATGGCTGCCGCTATTGGACCAGTTTTGATCCAATGTCATGCTCAAAAGGCGATAGAAAGAAGGTGTTTGGAGGAATTCTTAATGGTAAAGGACCACGAAGAGGTGAAATTGTTCTCATCAAAATTTTCAAAAAAGCACTAGGAACGGAATTAATGTGCAGAAATGAGATGTGCAAAAATCAAAAAGCGCGCGAACTATCTCAGGAATTTAACAAACGTTATCACTTTCAACATATCGAATTCTCGTCGATTTTAAATGCAATAATCGATGACGTATCTTTATCCAACAGTCTTCTGAATTCTCATCGTAAGATTTTCAAAAGCGAATGGGTTTTGATGGAAGAAAATGTTGGGAAACATTTCGTCACCTTTATTGATAAACATGGTCACGTCTTCAAACACTGCCCTCCCATTCTTACAGCGTTTATGCACTGGACATATCACGTGACAAGTGGACAATTAGTGGTCTGTGGCCTAGAAGGTGAACAAGATGAAAGTATTTGCCGATTGAAAACACCAACAATTCATTCGATGAAAAAGAATTATGGCGAATGTGATTCTGGTGAGAAAGGAATCAAGAATGTTTTCAGAAGTCACATTTGTACCAATATTTGTCGAGATATGATCAAACCTATTAACCAAAATGATTCTCCGTCCAGAATATATCCTGATCTCCCCTTACAGCCAACTGCACCGTTCGAACCTTCAGCTTTAAGGTTCGAGTTGGAGCATGCGCATACGCAACTTCCGTCACCGACACAATATTTTGTTGCAACTTCGGATTTAATGATGTCACAGTTTAGCCATGGCAGCACTGATTTCAATGGTAATCGGGAATAATGAATAACCTTAACAAATCAAAAAGACATATCTAACCGCTTAGCTCTTTGTTGTGTAATAGACGTGGGTAAATTTTCCCAAAGACCATTACAGTTTTATAATGAATAAACAGCTCAAATTTTTAAGATTCGAATTCAAAAGAGAACCATATCGAAAATGTTTGTATTTATTCTTTCGGTTTTTCTGACTTAATTGTGTTCGATGTTATTCCATGAATCAAAATAAGAAAATTTTAATCGTAATTAAGATTTAAAAGAGATAACTTGTGGCGTTTTTTCGCAACTTCGAAAACAACCCCAACCTTTTGCTGCCGACAGATGTGTGTTCAACAACAGCATTTTAGCTTTATGTACCCGCTTTAAATGCATTTGCTTTTGTCAAAGCCATATCTATAATCTTCATGGTTATTAAACCAAATCAGTGTTTGAAATTTTATTGAGATATCCTGAATAATAGCTTCTTCATATCATTTAAAATAAGCAAACAGGTTTTACTATTTAATTATTATATCCTGTTTCTATTACGACCATTAAATCTATTGTTACTTCCAAATTGTGGATGCAAGACTAATTTTAGTTAATAATTCAACGATCTCTGATCGCAGATCTTGAAAATGCTTTTGTTTGTGAATTTTGTTGGTTTCTCTACTTTTACTTTTACTATTTTTGCCTTTTGTGCTTTTAATTACTCCATTGTTATTTATATGTGGTGATATTACCCTTAATTGAAGACGTTTAGATCATAAACAAAGACACATTATGCCAAATTCTTGTTTCTGACAATGACATAGGTTTACATTTTGACGCAATTGTGAAATGTTTACTTACAAACTGCCATTTTTTCTTTTAAAAAAATGCTAAACGATTGTTGGATATTGTTGAATTGAACTTAAAAACTGTGCACTTACGAATGGTTTCAAGTTTATAAATTTGTCTTCCCAAACGATTTGTATTTATAATTAATGTTAGTCATAATATCTTTATCAATTATTTATTACCGTCAATATTTTCTAACCAGGCCAATTGTGACGAATTAGGTCATTTCCTTCTACCATTTCCTACCCTCAATAAGTTGACAAACTGCCAATTTCTGTAATCTGATGTAACTGCACATGCAGTATTTCGTTTTTACATTGCATTTGAACTTGGTTCCTCATAGGAGTAGCCCCGTGTGCTACAGACTGTGCACGTTAAAGATCCCTCGACAGTTGGAAATCGAAAGAGCAGGCTAATGCCAATTAAATGCAGAAAAGGAGGGCGTAACACTCCACCATATTATCCAGCTTTTACAAACTTCGTCTTATACTTTGACTGCAATAACCACTTTTCTTGTATCATGGAATGCGGAGCTTTTATTAGATTACAGCCAAACAAATCCCTGCATTTACATTTACAGACTTTTGTGATACAAGAAAGGTGGCTATTGCAGTCAAGGTATAAGACGAATTTGTAATAGCTGGAGATTGAGAAGATGGTTTTTTACGAACTTGTAAATCTAAATTCTTGTCCTTTATTGAAATATATTGCTGACGTGAACCTATCATCATCGACAATTTATTTATAATCTACTGTATTTCACCCTTTTGCAATAATATCTGTCTCATGGTGATATCTTATTGTTTACATATTGCATAACTACATATCATATTCTCTCTTTTTCATATCTGATTAAATATAGCTCGTGGAAATTCCATTTAGTTTAATTTCCGGTTATTTTCCATTCTAAATCTAACGGCATTGCTTAAAATCACATGTTCATATATCTATCAAATCAAACGCCTTTTTGGCAATTCCACGAACCAAATGCCTTTTCAGCTTGGGGTGTGTTATCACCGATAAATTCTGAAATACTGGAATTGTGATTTCTAGCTAATGCACCTACAGAATGAGTGAATTAACGCACTGAAAATAAACAAAATGGAATATCTAGAACTGTGTTGTTATCTTGTATCTCTGTTTGCATATTATGTTATCTTTTATATTATGTTATTGTTAACTTCTTATTCTCGGAGAAAAATGTTCTCCTATTTTGTTTAATGTTATAATTCATTATGTTTTTTTGTCTATTACGTCGTGTTTTGATTTCGCTCTGCAGTATTAAAGTATATTTTATCAAATTTATTCGTTTTAGAAATGGTATAGATCACGAGAAGCTGAAATCTCTACCATAATTGCTAATAATACGTCGTCAAGAAATGGATTGAAAATGAAATTGGAATTTTTTTACGTCGCCCTTTTGGTTTAATAAAAAATGGCGAAGCTGTGAGATTCGCAATGAGGTTGAAGGAAATCTCAAAAAAACAGCGACATCTACTCTTAATTTTATTTCCAGGTATCGAGGGATGTTGTTCCATTTGAACTGTGTTTATTGTTTTCTATGTCAGATTGATCGGTTGCATTACTAAAAATCACGCGATCATGCGTCACTAAAAATCGGGTATTTCCATTCTGTTACGTATGCAGGCCTAAATTGTTATCAAGTTTGGAAAATCTGGGTTTTAATTTCCCGTTATAGTTATTATAGTAATTTAACCTTGAATTAGAAGACAATAACATCGTCTCAAGTAGACGGAAATTATCAGATGTCGGTTATGCGAGGATATACAGCTACAGAATGCCAAGCCCATCTTTGTACCGCAATAGCAGGACCTGTTAATTTTCAATGTTACAATATTATGGCTTATGGTTCAATCAAATATCATTTACAAATACAAGAAAAGTGGCAATTGCAGTCAAAGTATTAGGCGCAGTTTTTAGATGCCTCAACGGTGGGTGATTCGCATATAAAAAAAAGTGCACTTTTGATCTATGTACGTTCGTCAGCAATGACATATTGCCTTCATATGTTGGCTTCCATATATTGGTAAGCACTACGATGTAGTACTAAGACGACCCTACAGGAGCAACATTCATTGGCTGGTTGCTCTGTTTCTAAACCTTTTGGACCTACATTGTCTATATTTAGACACCCTTAGTATCCCCACACTCTACATGATCAAATAGGTGAATCGTTCGGCCACAAATGACAAATGTTTGAATTAGTCGCTAACCTTACATAACGCTATATACAATTTGAAAATTGTCCACGAAAACAAACAAAGATGCTTGAACACTTGGCGTTTCTGATTTAATATATATAATTCAATAAAATGAACTTAATTAAATCAACAATTTTTACTTTATTGAAAGTCAACAATGACAATAAGGAGATAGCTAACTTGTATTAATATGCACGAAATATAATACAGCTTTAAAAAGTACGACATATACAAAGTACAATATATAAAGTATACAAAGTACAAAATATATAAATGATACAAAGTACAATATATAAAAGGTAAATGCTACTATTCAAATTACAAACAGCTCATGTGTGATAATATCCTAATCAAGATTAGTGTCAAAGAGTAGAATTTCTTGAATTCAATAGATGACTTATCATGATTCGTTATAGAACAAAATATTCTTCTTATCCAAAAAAAAGTATCTAAAATATTTAAGATCAAAGAAGCCAATTTTTTACAATAGGATGTGGGACTGAATAGTTTTTGATGTAAAATTTTCTTAACTTTTTCATTGCATCAAACTTAAATAGTTTATTACGGTGATATTAAAGAGTGACTTTATATTCATGCAATACAAAGATTTATAATAAAACGTAATATAAATATGCAAATGAGATTAAATGGTGTTACGTAGTTCGGTACACCATTGGGATGATCGGCAATGATGTATGAATGATTGAATAAATAAATAATTAAATAAATATTGTTAATAAATAAGTAAGCGGATAACGCTATATAATAAATGCGTATTTGGTATCAATACCAAGGCTTAATACACTTTACACTGATCAATAGCATTACACATTTTTGGTATATGATACTTAATCAAATATCGATGTTATTTGAAAAGAAAATTTTAATTATCAGTCCCGTGTATCTAGTTGCCCCATTTTAAATGGCTACCCTTAATTCATGGCAAGAGTATTTACATGTAAATAAGATCCTTGAGAACCCACGTTGCTATCCTTGTATGGCTGTTTGCAGGCCTAACAAATAACACCAGCCAACTAGTTTTATAAATTACCACCTCTATTCAGAATTCACACACGAAAAATCACATACAGATATGGCTCAGCAAGCAACAAAAACTTTAAGAAAGTTTGATGTCTATTATATACGAGGGCTAGCGAAAAACATCATCACTAAAAGGGGAGACATTAGTGTTCCTTAGCGGTAATGCATCTTCAAATGGGAAAACCGAAAATGGGCCATGCACGAGACTATGGTTTAGAAATTCACCACAGAGCGGATACGGGTCTACAGGGGAATACGGTGGTGGCGTGAAAGCTTCATCATCTTTCAGGTACAGTTTTATGTCAACTGGTGAGCTCGTCGCTCGTAATCTCTGCCCCGTTTCTTTCTCGGACTCGGACTGTATTATTACCAAGTTATCGTTGCAAGTACCTTTTTCAGATCTCTTTTTGGTTAGGTTAATATTCGGACCGATTACCTCTGGGTCGTAGGGAGCACTTGGTGCTCGTGGTCTCATCTCGGAATGTTTTATAAATGCTGAACAGTCGTGGTTACATGTATGAAGATCCAAACACTTTTTAATTCCTTGAAGACTCTCATCCTTCTCTCCAAAACAGCCATAAACGCTATGGATCGTTGGAATGGAAAGCGTAAAGGACTTGGAATCCCTGCACCCTTTCAAACTCGTAATGATCAGATTGCCTGATGTATAGTGGTACGAAAAGTGTACTAAAGTCTGCAATATTTGGAATTTGGCAGCCTTTGGTTTACCATATCGATCTACAAAACATATAAATGGTTCTTTACAACGATCTTCTATCAAACACCATTCATCATGTTTGGAATCGATTAACGCCTTCACGACGCTGTTTATCCTGATTCGAACACCATAAATGTTGGAACATCGTTCATTAAATGCTTGTATTATTTCTTTTGCGACTGCAACTTTCATCAGTTCCATATCACATTGTTTGGAGGATACTTCTGACCTTAGAAAGGTTCTAACAATTGCACACTGACGTTCGAATACATTTCGACTGAATTTCCTTGCTTTATGACCTTTGCAAGTAGTACCCTTACACCCTTTTTTCTCGAAACTGGCTGTCCAAATACAACCATGGTCATCTGGTGAAGAATTCAGAGTGCTCACATAGACTAACCCCATGTTCGTCCTTCGATATAATTCACGTCCAAATTTGTATCCAAAATTAATATCAATACGATAGTCTTATGAATGAATTGCACAATCTTATAGTAAACTTATAGTACACTCAAATAGCGTGTCCATTCAAACAAAATAAACAATCATGATATAAGTATCACACTGCACTGTAGCTTTATATATACGATGAACAATCTCGTCACGAGCAAAGAGAGAACACAGGGAATTTGAAATTGAAGTTTCTAACAGGAAATTTTCCTCATTCCCTTCACAACAATCAATTTAGAAGGCGTGGTTTAATTTGAGGAAATATTAAAACATGCCTGATCAAGAGAGTGAAAAAATCATTGACTTTTCGAACCCGAAAAGGAGCCATATAAGGTGCCGAAAGCAGGACGTAAAACACTAGTTCATTTTCATCAGCCGCTGCATGTGAATATTTTCGTCACATTCAGAAGAAAATTGTGGCTGAGCGAGACTGCCTGCACCACGTTGCAAGCTGCAGTAGGCACCTTCGATTTTCTGCTTACACAAGAAAGAAATAATAAAGTGTCTTATGAGATTTGGGAATTCGGGTGACCTGATTCAGTATACTATACTCGTTCATCTCCGTAATGCCAAGCTATTACGAACCTCGAACTTATATTTTGACAACCGAAAGGGCGCTCAATACTTAGTTAAGTAGACCTTAAAGGGGTGCAAAGTAGACAATGAGTCTTTAATGCATATAATTTGTGAACGGACTTGAGTGGTAAACGTTAAATATAATGGCCATTGTTGTGGAGGTTTGTAATTATGGTCTTTTATTATTAGGGTGGGGAACACTAGCCTAAACATGCATAGTCCGGAATAAATCATGATGTATGCATATCTGCTGACAGTGACATATTTAAGTGGTTAATTGCGGGAACACTAGCCTAAACATGCATAGTCCGGAGTAAATCATGATGTATGCATATCTGCTGACAGTGGCATATTTAAGTGGTATTTCATCATTTAATTTCCGCAAAAAAATCGAAATTCACGTGATGGTTTATTTACAAACATTGTGATATACAGTTTGACAAAATATTAACATGGGACCTTAATATATTTAAGGGAAATCCAACGTCAAGTGGTTATCTACTACGTGAGTTCATAACTCTCCATGGGCCCATGGGTACATTAAATTTATCTTGCAGCTTATGTCAGCTCAGTGGTGGCGCAACATTTTATGGGAATTTCTGCTTTTTCTAATATTTCAACATCGGTTGTTTTCCATTATTTATAATCATTATTTTTTATCTATTAGACAAATAATGCAATCTGCCTATCGTGAAAGTATCGCTGGCGTTCTGCCAAGTTCAGCTTTACGGAAACTGCCGAGGATTGTCGAATGCTAATAATACTGTAATACTTGGTAGGATAAACAAGAATGTCCGGTAGCGTTAACGACACATCTCAAATATATAACATCTTGTTCAGTAGTTAACATTTTATTTCAGAACAAATTGATTTATTGGAATTCAACAGCTGAAAACTTCCGGTTGCACAACATGACCCAACGTACTCCATCAAATTATTAGCACTCTAATAATTTAATATTTGAATCTTGAAGTACATCCGCAGACAGTTCTCCACATTTAAGGGAGTGATCTGGGGTTTGAATATATTACAGTCTTCAGAAGTACTAGGATGTACTAAAAAATCGCATTATCTCTTTAAGTATATCTCGAACTAGATATTTCGCTTTCTATTTCTATGGGGGTCTTTTGTCTATATACGACCAAATCTGAAGAAAAGACGAGTCATTAATTCTGGACACACGTGGATTTGAAAGCTCAAATTTCGACAGCAAACTGTGAGCACTATTACTGATTAGCTTAGCTTAGTGAAACAAATGTAGAATCTGTCCCTTTAAGTTTAAAGGAGACTGCAGGGTGATTTTTGTCGTATCCCTGCTTTCAGAACTAAGACAAATTTGGTCTCAACAAAGGATCTTTATGATCTTTCAAATCTACTCTGTTCTCACACTGTTTGACTGTGATATAAATATTGTCAGCAGATTTCAGAATTCTTTGTAACTTATGTTCCATTCACCAAATTGAACAATTTCTGCATAGAAATAGTACAGTTTTCTAAAAAAAAAATTGAAAGTAACATAAAAAAAGATATTATAACAAAAGTTCTCAATGTTAAAAAAAAGTGCTTAATAATGAATTGTTTGAGTAGCAACATGATTTTAAGGTTCTGTTTACAACATGATTTTAAGGTTCTGTTTACAACATGATTTTAAGGTTCTGTTTACAACATGATTTAAATGATCTGCTTACAAAATGGTTTCTTAGGATCTGTTTTAAAATTTTTAAGTTAGATAATATATATTTCTTGAGCGACACTCCCAAAGTGACACCGGTCCTTTCCTCACAGATGATTCCACTGAAGGTAAATCTGACGCATTTTTTTGCCCAAAATGAAAATACCGTTAAATCGTTCACGGGTGAAAACGTAAGTTATATCATCTGATTCTAATTATGGAAAGTATTACGGATACATTGCAACGATACTCACCGACTAAATTATTGAATTTCTTTGGTTTATTTGTCCAGAGCACACCAAACCAATATAAGGGTATACCAGAAAGTATAACAAGCAGTCCCATACCGATGGTATATGGTTTCTGATAAATCGCCAGAACTAATAAGCCAATTCCAACTAACAATTCTATTATAGGTATTATTAAATAGGTCTACAAAATAAACGAGTAGAAATGAAAGGAAGAGGAAGAGCACACTGAATTGATTTTTATGCCTGTTTTGTTTTATATCAGTTAAGGTAATGTAATACTTGCATGTTATAATGTAATACTTGCATTGTGTAACCTATATTCGTGCATATAAGGAGTTAACACCGAATTTCGTCAAAATTAAAAGACAGAAATTTCTTTTAATGACTTAGATGTTTCTACAGATATTTTACAAAATAATAAACATTATTTTGTTTCGATATTTTTTATGAATCCCCCACTTTGACACATATTTTATGAGTAACCTACTCGACAACGGCTGCAAAATGCGTCACCTATTTTCGTGTACAATGTTTGATCTATAAATAAGTGGAGAAAAACACGTTGTATGGTTACCCAGTGGTATAATTAACTTCTCTTAGTATTTATCTTTAATATCATTTCATTATAACTAATGACAATTCCTTCAAAGAACAATGATTTAACAAAAAAATAGTGACTGACAAAAAAAGATGAGTAAAACGTAAGAGTGATTTATTGCTAAAAGTCACAGAAACAGCATAAGAATATGGCCCACTTTGTGTTCCATAGAATTTTTCTGCTGACACAGAATTTGCAAGTTTATCACGTGACTTTGTTCACTGGAATATATTCTAGCAGACGACACTTGGAATTTTGATTTGAACTTGGGATAATAAGGAAATTCGGCTGATAGAAAATTATGATATTTGGTGTTAACTGAAATCCGCCATTTTGTATATGTTAGAAATAAATAATAAATTTGACGTGGCTTTGAAACGACAAGAAAAATTATGCAGGTTGACGTTGTATAGATTACTCCAATGTTTATCAAAACATGCAAATGCGGTGGTCACTCGAGGTCGCACATGTTAATCATTAATTATTTCCAGAGATGTACGAAATATAGGTTAGCACGTAATTAGGTTATTTGACTGTACTATTACAGTAAAGACTACAGATCCTATGTTTTGGCTGAGAACATAAAATGATCTCCTAAGCAATTATACCATAGTAGTTATTTCCCTTGATTTCACCGAGAATCATTGTTATCTTGTGTTGATGTATAGGATTTTGTATATTATTATGTCTTAGCAAAATCCATATGTCACAAGGGTAAAAGGTAAAACAAGTCTTCTGTATGCTACAGAGTGCCATGGTACATATCTCATATACCACCCCAAAGTCTTTTTACCAAACGGCTTCGTACCTTGTATGGTCTGGAAAATTGAGGCTGTTTGTACCTCAGATACAAAAGAGTTATGACTACAGCTATTCCCATGCTTATGGTGCAGAATGCTGTTAATTGCATCATAGTAGTTAAAGTACCGGTAAATAGCATAATCAAGGTCCATATTAACTGAAATAAATATTATTAAACGTAAAGAATAGAAGCGATTCATAAAGCACAGCGGTAACGTAACTTTCACAGTAGACCCTTTGGAATGCGGCGAATATCAAGCTACATCTTCTAAAAATGATGTTGGTGTTCTGCAATCGATTTCAAAAAGCGGACGTACATACATGTATATACAAACAAAATGCATTGAAATTCGTATAAAAGCAATATGAACACTCGTCAATGAAACTGCATGGACAATGAAAAATTATTTCTGAAAATGTTTGAACTTTGAATTTTGATGCAAGACTTACCAAAATGATAATGGCAGGCCAAGGAGTTAAATATTGAACATGTATCATACCGAATAACCTTGGCATTTGACCCACTCTGGCACCAGCAAATAACAATCTGGTAAAATAGTACAATAAAGTCATCGATTTGTTAGTTCTCTTTAGGAATAAAAGAATGTAGATGTACAAGTTTATTTGCAAAAAAATTACTCCGATTGCTATCAGCTGGTAAAGCAAATATGTCGACTATAATAAAGCCTGTGCGCAAATCATAGAACTCGGTTGAAGTATTGACTCTTTACAGTTTGCTAATTTACTGAGGGGGTATCAGTGAAGTGGAACCTCACGAAAGGTTCAAAGAGTCACCTTAATTTGGAAACCATGCGAGTGTAAACACACGCTTCCATCCGATACTGATATCGCAAACTTTCAGATCTTACTTACCTGGAATGCCCCATTATAGCAGCATTTAGAGCACCTATAGAAGTAGTAGCTACTAAAACCGACATCAAACCTGAAAGTGGGCGATATAATCTTTCTGTAAACAACTAGAATATAAAAAGTGGAACAGCTGGGTAGATATGTTGTTGCAAGCTTTAGACTTTTCATTTCGTTTATATATAAGGTTTTCATTGAAGTATATACACTACTTTACAAGGTAGATAACCAATAGAAAAATATAATAATGTATTTATATAAATATTTAACTTAAATAGTTGAGGGATGAAGGTCTATTGTTGTGAATTGGCTTTAAATTCACAGACTCATCCTGGAACAACTTACGATGTCAGAGTGTATCGTTCTATAGCGATGGCTTCCGTGTGCAGGGAAATTAATGTAAGATTCTGGCCGTTCGAGGCGAGAAATTGAAAATTAAACGTGTTAGGCCTAGTCCCACTCTTTCCATTTTTTCTACCTTGAAGGTTAATTTTTTGGAATATGAATGACTTCTAGGTATACCTTTCTGTCCCTTGTTTCATTCTAGTGTATGTGACAAGTTGTATATTTTTGGGGTTTGACCATGGGCCAAGCCCCGACACCCAATGGCCACGTCATGAATTGGGGCGTTCCTCACCTTGGAGAGACACGTCTCATTTCTTAACACCCCGTCCATCTCCATAAGGTATTTTGTAGATGCGCCTCTGTATTTGACGTCAGGGCGGTTAGAGAACAGAGGCCTTGACCAACTGTGAACAAACAATAATATAATATAAGAAGTGTACCTACCAGAGCAGCGGCCGTGGTTTTCATTAATTCATTAGGTGAGATCAAGGTGAAAAACAAGATATTAATCAAACAATATTTGATGGTAATAACTGGTAAAGCAATATATACAGATCGCGGTAGATCCCTGAAATGGATGGTTTTATATACATGTACGACATGCAGTATGCCTTATAGCAAACCTCTGTGTGTATTTGCTTTTTGAAGAATCTTAAGCGGTTCAATTTACTAATTTTGTGTATGGTTGCGAATTAGAATAGCGGTCATAAGTTCCAAACGCAACTTTTATGCATCTGAGTAGCGATTTGCGTTCGGAACTCGTGGCTTCCATCATTATTCACAACCATACGCAACTGGTAATCGCTATGGTGTGTTGCACCTTAACTGAAGAATAATGATAGGGTAACAGAGGAATATACTTCGACCCGTTTATATTAAACTCTCTGCAAAACCATGTTGAATAAATTACACAAAGCCTACCTTTCGGGACGCTTTAATTCTTCACTCATAATGGTCATAACTTGCCTGAAAGTAAACAGAACATTATCTGACATTTGTTTCCATTATAAACTCACTGAAATTTTAGAATCCAACCATCTCCCAAGAACTCAATTCGAATTTAGAAAAAAGGCATTTGACACCATATTGAGAAAGTGAATGTTTTATAATTTAATATTTAAACATATTTAAAAAAAATCTACAGTTTAACTGCCATATCCCTAGATGGTAAGCCCAAAGCTCATTTACTTTCTGCTAACAATTTGCTTATATTTTGCGTTCATTAAAAGACCTCCAGATAGAATGTTATATATTTCAAAGTCCCGGTCAAATTTGAAGATGAGAAATTTTAATTTTTTTCTGGGTTAATGCCCTAGATAACTATCTCTACGTGTTTTTAAATACACTTCATTATTCATATTCAAACCTTATTCAACCTTATTCTATCCACAACCCGAGATTCTAAATTTGTATATATTACCATGTAAGTTTGTATGCCTGTGTATAAATAAAATGTTTGGCTTTCAAGAGTTGTTGGTAGCTTTTTGTTACTTTGAACTGCTTTTTCATTAAGTGAAAAACAGTTTGAGTCTATTAAAGCCGTAACAGCAGTTGTTAGCTCATATCAGATTTTATCTTTTTGTTTCAACAATAAAATATATTATTATTACTAATAAAACTTCATCATTTGTATCATTTCTAACTATAATAATCTCGTTCTTTTCATATTGAAATATGCATCAATTATAGGTTTTTGTTTTTACGTCAAACTTTAAAATCTGTATGTAGCTTAAATATAGGAATATATATTATACTTACCAACCGTCGTAAAAATATAGAATAAATATTGCTATGGCTATAATACTTACCAGCCACCGCAAGAAAATATAGAATACTTATTTTGTTAAAATATAGCAATGGCTATTCCTTCAGGTTCTTCAGATGTTCCTTCAAATGGTGACTTGAGATATTCTGTTTTTCCTCGTGTTATTATACTTACCAACCACTGCGAGAGAATAGAGGATAAAATATAGCTATGGGTATTATACTTACCAACCACCGTAAGACAATAAAGAATAGGCTAATATATATATTTGGTTATTATACTTACCAACCACCGTAATACAATATTGAATAAAATATAGCTATGGGTATTATACTTACCAACCACCGCGAGAGAATAGAGGATAAAATATACCTTTAGGTATTATACTTACAAACCACCGTAAGACAATATAGAATAAAATATAGCTATGGCTATTATACCTACCAACCACCGTAAGAAAATATAGAATAAAATATAGCTATGGCTATTATACTTACCAACCACCGTAAGAAAATATAGAATACAATATAGCTATGGCTATTATACTTACCAACCACCGTAAGAAAATATAGAATACAATATAGCTATGGCTATTATACTTACCAACCACCGTAAGAAAATATAGAATACAATATAGCTATGGCTATTATACTTACCAACCACCGTAAGAAAATATAGAATAAAATATAACTATGGCTATTATACTTACCAACCACCGTAAGAAAATATAGAATAAAATATAACTATGGCTATTATACTTACCAACCACCGTAAGAAAATATAGATTACAATATAGCTATGGCTATTATACTTACCAACCACCGTAAGAAAATATAGAATAAAATATAGCTATGGCTATTATACTTACCAACCACCGTAAGAAAATATAGAATAAAATATAGCTATGGCTATTATACCTACCAACCACCGTAAGAAAATATAGAATAAAATATTGCGATGGCCATTCCACCAGGTTCTTCAGTTGTTCCTGCAAATGGTGAGTCTAAATACTCTGTTTCTCCTAGAGCTAATTCATAAATTCCACCGATGATTATTAAGAGTAAAGCCGTGATCTTTGTGCTTGATAAAAATGTTTGAATTCTTCTAACATATTTCATATATAAACAATTCGCTACAACTACAGTGACTGAAAAGTAATTGGTATATCATTTTATGGCATATTATATTAATGTTACATGTAAATATCAAATGGTTCGTTCCTCAAAATCTGTGTAATTCAGTCTTGTTTCTTGCTAGCGAGTCAAGGCATCGAGCTCACTTCTGGAACACCTGGCGCCATTCTGCCACTGTATTTGTCACCTCGTTCTTTGCGATACTTCCATACCATAATACGTTACCTAATATCCAACCAGCCAACAGCTTGACTCCGAGATTCATGGAAGTATTTTCACAGTCGGGAAAGATTGGTTTAACGATGTACAAAGCAGCTGTGTAAGAAATAAAAGACCAAATTGGCCCAGCTATCAAAGTGACATATCCATACACTAACAAAAATCCTGGCAAAGGACCGAGTCCTTTCAAGACAAAGGCATAAGGTCCACCAGCAGTAGGAAACATGGTTCCAAGTTCAGCAAAACAAAGAGCTAATCCCATATTGATGAGTCCGCCAACTAACCAGACAATTACAGCAGCTCCTGGTGAACCTGCTGATTGCAAGATGGATGTGGGTGAAATAAATATAGCAGAATGTCCAGAAATCGCAACGATAATAGCAACACAATGAACTAAACTCAAGGACTTTTTTAACTTAGGCCCAGGAGCTTCAATAATAACCTCCTGCAGCTCACAATGGTCTTCCATGGTGTCACTTTCCACACTAGTACTTAATGGTTTTAAATAATCATTTCGAGTTGAAATCTTTGCATCCATCTTATCGTATATCAACAGATGTGCTAATCTACCAACAATGCGTAAGTGCAAACATTGTGCACTGAACATGTATGTATGTTGTATATCCCGGATTTTAGAACACGTGATTTGTATTTTTTTTTAAATCATCAAATAATGTCATTCTTTTGATCGTTTTTGACATTGACATACGTATACAGGGAAGTTGAATTATGCTAGGATTTTTCAGTCCATACTGCAGATATTTCACATTTCCAGTCACTCTTTCGCGTTAAACAGTTATTTTTAGAATACTACATACTCCATTGACTTACACCAACAAAATTACATTCTAATTGTCATAGTGTTGCATACTGTTGCATGGTATAACGATTTAGTCGAACATCTTGATCACAATTTCACATGAGTAAGATCAGTAGTATATTATGAGGTAGTTATCAAGTTAATAACTAGAACACAACACTGCAACCACATTTACACACCTAAGTAATAGGTCAATAATACTCTCTGAGTCGTGGTTTATTTCATATAAATGGTAGATAGTCCTCATCCGTGTATGTATATGTATATAGAAATCAGCAAAGCGTGAAACTTCCGAAGTTAAAAGGCTAGCTTTATAACGGTCAAATGCAAAATATCACAGTAATATAATAGGATTAAAAAAAACTTGTATGACCACTATTTGTATAGGCATCTATTGGCTCAACAAACACGCAACAATCCTCAGACATATAAGTATGGTGGCTCATCATGGCCACCGTTTGCCTACGAAAATATATGATTTCACAGAGCAAAGATCTTCTTTTTTTTTATTCCCGGATTTCGTCCGACACTATGAAGAACTAAAAGGTAATCTTACTTTATATCTAGAAAATAAATATCTTCAAGTTGAAGCAACAATTGGGTAAAGTCTGTAGTGAGTCCGATGTCGTTGGATAAGAACAACTTTAGCTTATATACTTCTTACTTGTATCAAATCTTGAAATATTGAGTAATTTATGGAGAAATCCCAAGGCAATGAGTTCAAATAAAGTGATAAATATAGAGATACAGAAAACCCAAAAGTACAATTGTTCCGAATCGCTAACACTGGTCTCAATACTACACTCAGGGGACATTCAAGGGGAAGGGGAGCAGTACAGCGAGAGAAAGAATAGAACTTGGGAGTAGTGAGGGCATGGGATAGGGTTAAAAGTACAGAGGGGAACAAACAGAAGGAGATTTGGGAAAGAGGACAACAAAGAGGTTGGGTACTAACATACCAAAACAGACAGTAGACGAAACATTTATGGATGGAGAGACAGGGGAAAGAAGAATTTATCAGGAAGGTTGCCCCATTGGCATTTAATTGAAGAGATCGTAGAATATTTACAGGAAAGAAAAGGCAGAAGGTTAATCCCTGAGACATCAGGGCATTTTAATGGTAAATAGAGGATAGAAAGAGACGAGAGTGAGGATTGTCGAGAGTAAATATTTGTAACAGGGCATTGGTTGTTTTTCTGTTTCATTGAGAAGTACTCATTGTACCACCGTGCAATGCTTCGAATTATAGTACTCCGAAGTCATACTATGGATGGCCATCCCAGAAACCGCTGGAATTATTGTCTAACTCCGTTAACAATTATTAATGATATAAAACATTTTCGAAAGTAATCTCAGTGGTCAAATAAAATTGCAGAGAATTACCTCCCTTCGGTAAAACGTATGTCAAACTATTTACTATTGTAGACTTCTGATATAATTTAATAATAATAGGTAAATAATCATATTGTAAAATCAGATACCGCTATTTCTAGAGGAAATGGCCCATAGTTCTTCATGGATGATAGAGATCGCCGTTCGTTGCCTCGTATTAATAGTTCAAAACTTCTCGTTAGAAATATACGATTTGATTTGAATCGTAGATCGTCGTGTTAAATTTTGATATGGGTTTATCATAGGAAATATTGGATCGCAAAAACGGTTATTATGACTCGCTTGAATTGAACCCTTGCAAGTGTTTCCAATCGTAAAATCGATCTCAGGCCCAACCGGCAAATTTACCAAGACATAAAGCGCAGCTCTAATGTTTGTAGAGTTTTTGTGTAGATTTGGATTGAATACCAAATGAGAAAATATGTCAAAAAACATAACGAGACCCATTCATTTATGTAATAAAATTATTTTTTCTATTTTATTTAAATTCTCTTATTAAATATTAACACTATTTACAACTAATTGATGTACATTATGTTCCTTTTACCAATACCAATACTTTCTGAGCCGAAACAGTCCAAAATTCTGAAAGATAAAAAAAATGACGTAAAAGTATTTCATTTGATTCTTAGTTTTAGTAGAAATTCAATGGTCACAGATTATGACCGCTGATTAAAGCCCAGGGGCCCTTTCATGGTGGAAAGTAGGACTCGAGCAACCAATGGTAATACTGCTATATTCTCTACATGTAGTTCTACCAGGTTGAATAAAACAAGAGATTGATTCAATGGATTGTAAAAGAGGTTTTCTAAATTGTCTATGTATATGGGTATACTGGTTGTAGACGTCTGTGAATCTTTCAATTTCACTAATGTGTTTGATAACGTCACTAATTGCAAAATATGTTTTAGCACATCAGGCATTTTGCGATCAGTGTCGTCATTAAAGACTTAGTTTTAGTTGAATTGCAGTGAAAATTGGAATGGTGTAAATTAACGCTATCAGTGTCCGTGATACACACACAAAATGTAAGAAATCTTTTTACAATCCTCTTACAAGTTCTCTTTTGATGCCATCTGATTGTAACAGTTGTTGAAAATACAGTTACATCGAGCTTGACCTGAGTATCACAAATTTTGACTCTCATATTATTTAGAAACTCGTCGAATTTGATAGTGAATTTATCATACTGTTTTGATACATTTTCAACAAATTGAACTCTATATTTATCTTGCCATCCTTATATTGAATAAGGCAATAATTCATCTTGTGAATAGGAAACTGTCTTCCCATACAGAAGACTGAATTTTACAGGGTTATGATAATAATGACCACTTTCCATTATCTGCAACCATACGCAGCTGGTTATCGCTATACATGTATAGTATGAGAGCACCTTTAGTATAGAGTATGATAATGTTTCCTTACCAACTAGATCTTTAAATTCTTTTGGTTTATTCCTCCATAAAACACCAAACCAATATAAAGGTATACCAGCGAATAATATAGCTAGTCCTATACCTATTTTATGTGGTTTTTGGTAAATAGCCAAAACTAAGACAGCAATATTAACCAACAGTTCAATTATTGGAATAATAATAAATGTCTGAAAAAATGAAAAATACAACGTTTCACTTCAGTGAAGCGCATATACGAAGGACTGTTCTCTCTACTGGTCAAAATTCTCACACCTTAATCGGTTTTCAATTAACATTAGCTGGGTTACATTTATACTGATTTTCAACAACCACTATCAACTTGCAGCATCTTTTGGAATCTGGATTAAGTAGATCATAGACTGGGAAATTTTGTTCGTTTGAAGTCAGCGAGCATCCAGATGATTTCCAGTGGTAGTACTCTGTCAATTTTCCAAATGGATCTTACGCTCTTGACGAATTGGATGCATCTATTATGATATTCTAATCGACAGTTGGCATGGAACTGAAATTTCTGACAAAAAGATGAAAATTACCTTATATGGTCTGGATTGTTGAGGCTGTTTGTACCTCAGATACAGGAGAGTTATCACTACAGCTATGCCCATTATCGTAGAGAACAATGAAATAAATTCTATCATCGTTGTTAGACCACCAGTATATAACATTGCTAGAGACCAACCCAGCTGCAATTTCAAATAGAACTTTTATAGACTAATGAAGCAATGCTATGCACCTTAAAATAGAAACTATTCCTTAATTCTCAGTATGGTTCTAGTGGGTTCGTTTCCCATTTGAGCTCATTTTATAGGACAAATCAAAAACAAAAATAATGCTAAAAGAATATACAAAACCATATCTAGCCATCCATAAGAACATTAAAGTCTTCATAGTCTATACCAACTTACCAATAAAAATATAGCAGGCCATGGTGTTAAATATTTAGTATGAATCATTCCAAGAATAACAGGCATATGACCAACTCTTGCACCCGCAAATAATAACCTGCAAGAACCAAAACAAGGCAGATTGAAGATGGTTGAGATTTTTTTCAATTTGTTAGTGTTTTTATAAACAAAAGAGTAAGGCTCAAGAAATGCCAGTGCAGACAAAATGTGTCACAATTAACAGTAACGATGCAGGAATTGCAAACTCAGTGGAAAGTGTCTTGGCGCTTCGATCCATTCAAAAGGATTGATAACGCTGCGAATATGAAAATCTTTTTATACTTGCATGGAGGGAAATATGACAAAGTTTCTTATGCTTACCTTGAATGTCCCATAATTGAAGCATTTAAAGCTCCGATGGAAGTCAACGCTACAAAAACTGATATTAAAGCTGTAATTGGTTTATATAATCTATCCATAAATAACTGAAAAACAATTTTATAGTTTAGAAGGAAGGTGGAAACTTGGCTAAAAGGAATGTCATACTTTAATCAGCTTCAGAAGCCTTAATACCTGACAGGGATATTTGGATTTTAATTGAGTCCTTGTAATACTTTATTAATTTTTTTACCCAGTAGCTTTCAATTGTTGAGACCAGGTCCAAAACAACGATAATTTCGACGGAGGATGTCACCAACGGCTAGTATCTTCCAGAACAACTTGTGCCACTTTGTGAATTGGGCTGTCAGCTCGGCATACCTTTCTGATTGAGTAGGTAAATCCAGCTAGAATCAATCTTGAAGATGCTGATGCCTTTACTAGTCCATAAGTAGCAAGTAGACACTTACCAAGGCCACAGCAGTAGATCCTAATAATTCTCGAGGAGAAATCACAGTAAAGTAGGCAATATTGGTTAGGATATATTTAATAATAACAATCGGGAAGGCAATGTACACTGATCTTGGTAGATCTCTGTAATATAGAGCATAGTCATGATTTGAGTTGGCATGTGTCAAATGGGTTGCAGAAAGGTTATGCAATGGATAAATCCTCGTGAAAGTCTCCAGCTGTAAGAAACTGAAATAGAGAGATAAGCGATATATTGGTATCTTTTCTATGAAATGTATGACCTTACCTTTCCGGGCGTTTAACTTCCTCTGTTAGTGTGGTCATGATTTGCCTGTAAATACAACATATATGTACTGATAAGCAAAGACTAGCTAAAGGTAATGTCCAAAAGTATATTTATATGCCAAAAGTATATTTATATGCTTAAAGTATAGCAATATGCCTAAAGTATAGCAATATGCCAAAAGTATATTAATATGCCTAAAGTATATTTATATGCCTAAAGTATAGCAATATGCCAAAAGTATATTAATATACCTAAAGTATATATATATGCCAAAAGTATATTAATATGCCTAAAGTATATTTATATGCCTAAAGTATATTTATATGCCTAAAGTATAGCAATATGCCTAAAGTATAGCAATATGCCTAAAGTATATTTATATGCCAAAAGTATATTAATATGCCTGAAGTATATTTATATGCCAATAGTATATTAATATGCCTAAAGTATATTTTTATGCCTAAAGTATATTTATATGCCTAAAGTATAGCAATATGTCTAACGTATAGCAATATGCCAAAAGTATATCAATATGCCCAAAGTATATTTATATGCCAAAAGTGTATTTATATGCCTAAAGTATATTAATATGCCTAAGGTATATTAATATGCCTAAAGTGTAGCAATATGCCTAAAGTATATTTATATGCCCAAAGTATATTTATATGCCCAAAGTATAGCAATATGCCCAAAGTATATTAATATGACCACAGTATATTCATATGCCTGAAGTATATATATATGCCCAAAGTATATTAATATGCCCAATGTATAACAGTATGCCAAAAGTATATTAATATGCCCAAAGTATATTTATGTGCCCAAAGTATATTTATATGCCTAAAGTGTAGCAATATGCCTAAAGTGTAGCAATATGCCTAAAGTATATTAATGTGCCCAAAGTATATTAATATACTCAAAGTATAACAATATGCCAAAAGTATATTAATATACCCAAAGTATAGCAATATGCCCAAAGTATGTTAATATGCCCACAGTATAGCAATATGCCTGAATTGTAGCAATATGCCAAAATATCAATCAAATATATCTCTCTTATACTAACCAGCCACCGTAAGAAAATATAGAATAAAATATAGCAATGGCTATTCCACCAGGTTCTTCAGATGTTCCTTCAAATGGTGACTCGAGATATTCTGTTTCTCCTCGAGCTAATTCATAAATCCCTCCAATCACTATGATCAGCAATGCAAATATTTTGGTACTGGATAGGAACGTCTGTAGTCTTCTGACATATTTCATGTATACACAGTTAGCAGCTACTAATGTAACTGAAATGATGAAAACCATCTTCAAGATGTGTTACTTTAATACCAGTTAGGCGCTGGCATACATACAGGAAATTGAAGTTTCGTTCACGTGTAATCATTAAGAAATGCTTTAGAGACGACTTGTATTATACTTACTCATAATCCATCCAGCTAAGAGTTTTACGCCTAGGTTCATTGACTCGTTTTCACAATCAGGGAATACCGGTTTAACCAGATACAATGCAGCTGTGTAGGACAAAAATGCCCAAAATGGTCCAGATATCAGAACAACATATCCATACATGATCAGAAATCCTGGAAGAGGTCCTAACCCTTTCATGACAAAGGCATAAGGTCCACCAGCAGTAGGAAACATAGTTCCAAGTTCAGCGAAACAAAGAGCTAATCCCATATTGATGAGTCCGCCAACTAACCAGACAATGATAGCAGCTCCTGGTGAACCTGCTGATTTCAGGATAGACGTTGGTGCTATGAAAACTGAAGAATGTCCGGTAACAGCGATCATTATGGCTGCACAGTGAACAAGACTTAATGTTTGTTTTAACTGGGGCGCTTTCGGCTGAATCGTAACTGGAGGTGAATTACCAGAAGGTGGTTCCCCATTAGACGATGATTCTTGTCTAAGAGAATCCGGTGTAGCACCAGTTTCTGTGATTGATAAACTACTATCTGTAGTAAATACTGGGTTGGTATGTCCATTTCTGTTGTCGAATTTGTTTAGAGTTACTGTCTGGTTTTCTTTTGATCTTTTCCTGAAGAGAGGCATTTTGCTGGTCGTGATTAACTATTAATAGATTGACCTTTTTCACAGCACAAGTACCACAAAAAGCATCGAATTCCCAACAAATTTAAAACAAAACGGTAATATCTCACAAAAACACAAAAATTCGCTGTAATAATAAATTTACTTATTCCATAGCACAACTACCACAGACAGCATCAAAATGGCTTACAAATTAACGAAAACCGTAATATTTCTTTATACAATAGCACCGAAAAATTCACTAGCACTAAAACTGCACTAGCACCAAAAATTCATTGTAATAATCGTGTACCTTTTAGTTTCTATTGATACTTTCAGTCACACGGTGCTGGATGACGTCGGCTTTTTCAAAAATGATCTTATATCCTGTCCTTTGTAAATCGATGTATAAGGATAAATTTCCAGAGAAAGCTTAACACAAACTTTTCTCTTGATATTTGAAACAGAAATTTGTTACATTAGTAATATGTTAATATATTTGTTTTACTTTTTAATATCACACTGAATCTAACATGCCCATCATTAAATTTGTTGTGAAAGGCTCCAATCCGTTACATGAATGATTCGCACATTTTTGGATGAACAAAGATAGACTGAAGGTTTGTCGAACTATTTACAATACTTTATAAATGTACACGGATCTTGTTATGTTACTTCCCTGCTCAATTCACGTGTACTGTTTAACGTTTAAACCGGATTTAGATAAACGGTAGCCGAGAAATGCACCGATCTAATTCCGGCACAAAATGCTGACTCATTGGCATTACAATGCAGTTTTCTATTGTTATTTTAATTTTTTAGATAATGTTTCAAGTCAGTTAGCTTACTATATCCTCATTAGGATTTACCGAGGTATAAAGTTTTCTCTAAAATAATCCTTATTGGATGCATATGATATTCTACAACGCAATTAATGTTCCCATGTCCTTCCAAACATTTGTTAATTTTATGCCTGCCCTTGGTATTGTGTTTTTCTGACCACAGAAAACCGTTATCGTGCCATGTGGTGTAGCGGGAAATCTTTCCATGTGGGGCCATGGGCATGAAAATGCTCAAATCTTGCCATTTTCAACTGAAAATAATGGAAATTTTTTTGCCGGGGGTGAGGGGGGGGGGGGGGGGGGGGGGGTTTGGCATGGCACCCTAAATACGCCACTGCTCGTGCCACGCGAAGTCTGCATGCTAATTAAACATGACATTTCTTGTGCTTTGGTAGGAATTGTAATGGATAGATGTTGGATTTTTAATGAGTTTTTGTAGAAAGAGTAAAACTAAATTTTTCATCAATCAATCCTCCAGAGTAATGTTTTAGATCACTCGAACCGACATCTTTATTTACTAATTACATTGACTACTTAAACCAACACTTTCTGTACCAGAACGTTAAACGACGTACGCTTTTATTTTTTTAACCTATAGAAATAAAAATAATGTATATATAATGTAAAAAGTCGAGATTTTTTCATTTCACAGAACTATATCGTTCTTTATTGTACACCTGCCGATTCAAATTGATATCTCTTATAAATCGGGTGTCCCAAAAAAACGTCCCAAACTTCGACAGGTAGTATCTCAGCAGTTGGTAAACTGATCTCACAGATATACTTCAAGATGGTGTTGTCCAATCCTGAAAATATGAAACTCATCGAATAAAAATTGTACAAGCACAAGCACTTTCAATCTGTGTTCAATTTGCCCTCCATCTTCTTCTACCACCATTTGCAACCCTTTTTCCCCCAGATGCCAACAAGACAGGACCCCATCGCATACTAGCAAAGTATCCCAAGCATATCTGGAGGAGACTACACCAGAATTTATTCATAAGAATGACATGCAGTTCCAATCCCCAGACTGTAATCCAATGGATTTATGTCATTTGGAATCAATTTAATGTGTTCTTTTGATAAATTAAATTTTTTATGTACAATCAATACTGTACATTGATAACTTCATAATTTACATCTACATAGCAAACAAACTTGAATCTTGATATACATCTAGATAGCATACGATTAAACTTGAATCTTGATATATATCTAGATAGTATACGATTAAAATTGAATCTTGATATATATCTAGATAGCATACGATTAAAATTGAATCTTGATATATATCTAGATAGCATACGATTAAAATTGAATCTTGATATATATCTAGATAGCATACGATTAAAATTGAATCTTGATATATATCTAGATAGCATACGATTAAAATTGAATCTTGATATATATCTAGATAGCATACGATTAAACTTGAATCTTGATATATATCTAGATAGTATACGATTAAAATTGAATCTTGATATATGTCTAGATAGCATACGATTAGAATTGAATCTTGATATATATCTAGATAGCATACGATTAAAATTGAATCTTGATATATATCTAGATAGCATACGATTAAAATTGAATCTTGATATATATCTAGATAGCATACGATTAAAATTGAATCTTGATATATATCTAGATAGCATACGATTAAAATTGAATCTTGATATATATCTAGATAGCATACGATTAAAATTGAATCTTGATATATATCTAGATAGCATACGATTAAAATTGAATCTTGATATATATCTAGACAGCATACGATTAAAATTGAATCTTGATATATATCTAGACAGCATACGATTAAAATTGAAAATTGATATATATCTAGATAGCATACGATTAAACTTGAATCTTGATATATATCTAGATAGCAAACGATTAAAATTAAATCTTGACATATATCTAGACAGCATACGATTAAAATTGAATCTTGATATATATCTAGACAGCATACGATTAAAATTGAATCTTGATATATATCTAGATAGCATACGATTAAAATTAAATCTTGATATATATCTAGATAGCATACGATTAAAATTGAATCTTGATATATATCTAGATAGCATACGATTAAAATTGAATCTTGATATATATCTAGATAGCATACGATTAAAATTGAATCTTGATATATATCTAGATAGCATACGATTAAAATTGAATCTTGATATATATCTAGATAGCATACGATTAAAATTGAATCTTGATATATATCTAGATAGCATACGATTAAAATTGAATCTTGATATATATCTAGATAGCATACGATTAAAATTGAATCTTGATATATATCTAGATAGCATACGATTAAAATTGAATCTTGATATATATCTAGATAGCAAACAATTAAAATTAAATATTTATAACTTTATTGTACATCTTAATAGTAATTAGTTTAAATTTATAACTTCAGTACATCTAGATATTAAATAAGTATCTTCACTGTACATGTATGTTGTAAGAAGTTAAAATTGATAATCTCAAAGATCATCTCTTGAAAGATAACGTATATTTTCCTATGATAGTGTTTTGACGTTTTGTAACTACGTTTCCTAGTTTTGCATATAATAATTGCATACTGATGAAAAAGTTCATACTTGAACAGCATATTTGATAAGCAAAACGATGACAGTGGGGTTTCTGTTTATTATGAGTTATATCAATAGAAACAAACTGGTACCCAACTGACTCAATCTGTCCACAACTGTCATAATCTGGGCTATCAATTGTTCATTTTCTTACACCCCGAACAATACCTCATCCATATAACAGTTTCTAGTTATTCACGCCCTACCCCCTCATGACAGATATTATCAATGGTCTGATCTAGAGTTTTAACCTGGCAGGGGTTAACTTTAGTCGAGATAATCTACTCACACTCCTACTTTCAGTTTATGATTTTTAAAATGTGTTAAAATCAATAACATCAATGATTCGAAAATCTGAAAGATTATCTACCTCATGAAAAACTATTTCATTCCAAATTGGAGGAATAAATCTTGTGTATCAATGAAATAATTTCCAAATATCTAACACAAAATGTATGTTCATTAAAGGAAGCCGATTTTAATTGTCAAATGATTAAAAAGAAAACATTGAAAGTGGTTGTTGGTTTAAAATAAAATATTCCCAAAATATAATGATAAAAGAATTAAAAATATTGACATTAACATGTGTTTTTATCTAAGCTATTTATAAAGATTGGTTGAACATTAGAGGTTACATTTTCCCCAATTTTCTGTAAACATCCAGCATTTGAAGACATTGTAACTGTAATTGAGGCTATTGAAACTTTCGATAGAAGAGGGTTAATTTAGTCATTATCATAATTTTAGGCTGATTAGAGAGGGATTTAGAATGTTTGTTTTAAAATAGATTAACCCTATGTTTAACAACTGTATTTACGTGGATTAAGATTTTCAATAGCTTCTGATCAGGCCCCTATAGGGTTAATATATACCCAGCATATTTAAATATAGGTATTAGGAACAAGATAAACATTGGAGTTAATTGGCTTAACAATAGGTAGTGGGTATTAGCATGTAGGTTTAAATGCTTCACCCTTGGATATTAAAACCAAAACTGCTAGATTTGAATTAACCCTAAAAGGACCATTCTTTAAGTAGTTGGGGTGAAAAACAATGAAAGGGAGCTATTGTGCTAGACAAAAAGCGTTGCCTTAACAATATGTACACCTAGTATTTAGTCAAGGTCTGAACCCTCCAGGCTCATTACATGTCATCGCAATACAGAGTAAAGAACCAGCAAGTCAAATCATTTGGATAAGAAGTCGGATTTATTTCAGACAAACTTGACACGAGTTAGTGATAACAAGTTTCTATTATATCTGAAGGGTGGAGAAATTACACCCTTATTTTTGACTATACAGGGTATTAAGGGGTGTGAATTTGCCCTGAACGAGACATCTACACTGTCTGAAGCTCCTGGGAACTTCATTTAGATATTGGTCACTCGACTGCACGGAGAAAGTTGGATATTTACATCTGAAAGTGGTAAGTAATTTTAAATGAAACTTATGTTAAAATATCTTATCGTATATTGTCATTAGCATAGTCTATGATAGGATGTGTGCGTGAGGGGTGGGGGTCTATTGTATTGCTGCGGCATGGCTTCTGATGAGAGTGTTATTTTAACAATTAATTATTTAATTGGTTTATTGGTGTATCTACATGACACTGACACACTAATGACAGTGTTATTATATACACAACTGTACATAGCTTGTAGTAATTTTGGTCAAATTGGAAGTTGATAACTGACCACAGACCAGCTACTGTGGAGATGTGTAATTTTTCATTTGTGTTAGGATATTACATGCATTTGGACTTGAATTTCTTTACTGGTTTGAAATCATTTGGAAGTCAAAAGGTTTTGAAATTTTTGTTATATTTGTATCATTTTCAATTTTTAGTCTAACTTTGCATATGACAGTTTTACGATAGCAAAAGATCGAAACTTGCCTGACAAAATGCCGTGTACATGCAATTCTGTTAGCTTTGATTCTGTTAATTTGCCTGAGAACCCTCTCTCTCTCTCTCTCTCTGCTCACCATTGGTTTGTAGATAGTCTTTATTACCTAGATATCAGATTATAGTTTTTACTTCAGGCAGTATAATCATGTCATAAATGTGTCACCATACTTTCCCATATAAAATCCCTTACCAAATATGTCAGTTGAATTGAAAGCCCAGAAAACCCCATACCTTGTTACAGGTAGAGC